ATTGTTTGTGGAGGAATATTGATAAATAATATAGAAGAGGGTACTTGTATCACTCACAAGGTATATAATGATGTTTTGTATTTATTGTGTAAGTTATATACATATTGTACATGTATGTAAATAGTAGATTATGATGAGATGTACTTTTACTAAGTGAAAGATGATATTGATTTACAAGTAATATTTATAATGTTTGTATAAAAGAGTAATTAATCATATTTAAATAGGTACATGTAGATTCTTATTTAAATTGATTTATTTGATATTAATATAAGTACAATGATATTGTTGTAATATATTTATGATGCCTTATTTTCTTTTCAGGCCCATTATTGTTTTGTGTTATTTATATTGTAAATACTACACCGAATAAATATCTAGCAAGAACCCTATTGTGTTGTTTAACCCTGAGACCGTAGAGGCACAGCTGCTAGATTGAGGTCAGTTAAAGCTTGCAAACACAAAGGAAATTATTGATATTGTAGCAATTCTGAAGATATTTTGTTTAAAATGTAAGAGTGCATATTTTTGATTTCTCAAAGAAAACATTTAAAGTCTTATTAGTGTGGTAAATATAAATGAGAAGTTTAAACTGAAGTGTGAATGTGTAGACAAGAAGATAAACAGCAGAATCATTCCCAGTCAAAGTTTCAGGTAAACAACTTTTACATACAATAATTATTGTTATTTATGCAGAAACTGTTTAGTTTTTTGACAGTAAAAATATGAAGTGGTATTGTATAAGATTGTGTTTTATATTTGTTTTGTTTGTAACTTGACTAAAAAGAAAGCTGCATGTACAATGTACATATAAAGAATGTAGGAATATAAAGAATGTAGGAAGATCTTCATCATTTCTTAAATACAATATGTTAGAAATTTTAAGTTTGAGAAAAAATTATAGAAATTAATCAGTAAGTACAATATCATTATGTACAATATTACATCAATCAAACTATAGATAACCTGAGGTACCTATTACTACAACTTTCATGCTATAAACAATTTTCCTTGTGTGTCACATGTGGAGCAGATTAACAGTAACTGATTTATTAGTAAGTTTCATTCCTTCATTGTTGTAATTCAGCTTTCATGGTGCAGTAGATAATTATATAACCATAACTAGACAGTCTAGAGTAACATGCTATTAGGAGAATGACAGTTCATAACAGAAACAGCATTAAATAAGAATTATTATTTTGCAGACACAAAGCAATGAGGAGCAGTCTGGAGCAACACATTTGATCTTCAGTGGCTTTACAAAGGTATCTTGTTAATTCAAATGTATTTTTAAATTAATAGGAAAGAAGTGTCACAGTACCCAATAAGACACTTTTCAGTTCTTGATAAATATAGCTATTAGTCACTACTTACAAACCTACTTTAATTCAAACTCTTTATGACACTTTAATTTGCATTTACATTTTGTTTTACAAATTTTAGAGTTTTTGTACATTTTATCTTGAAAATTTTATCAAATATTTATCCTGATGAAGGTTCGTTAAGAACTGAAACTGGAAGATTATTAATTACTCAACCTGCACTGGTGTTGATGTGTTGTATTTCTTTATTTCTTTCTTATTTTAAAATTTTAGAGTTGTATACATATACCAAGGTCTTATAAAAGTGTTTCATTTTCTGTCTTTACATATTAGATATTGATAATCATTTTCTGTCTTTACTTATTTGATATCGTTAATCATAATTTAGGACCAAGTGATGGCAGAACTGAAGCTATATGCCTCAAAAGAGAAAGGTACAGCAAAGCTCTTCAGAATGCTATATAATATAGAAGAGATTAAAGGCCGCTCATTGTTTGGTATGAGGAAAGGGAACAGAGAGTCTGACACCAGACCTTCTTGTGCAGACAAGGCAAAACTTAAGTTCTTGGAAGGTAACTAATGAACTGAATGAAAATATCATTTTGGATTCTGCGTATATTTTCTGCCTTGGAGTAAATAAGAAAAGTCTGATTCTTCCCTGTCTGCAGTGCTGTTTTTTAAAGTGTTTTAATCATATCTATGCACTCAAATTGAATATAGAAATATCCAATAGTCATATAAAATTGTAAGCTTATGTTTTTAATTATTGTTTTAATCATTCATAATTTTTTTAGTTTTAGATTGTGCGCTCGAAAAGTTGCGGACAACCTAAAGGACTGAACTCAAACCGTCCAGGAATAGCAAGATAAACTGAAGAAAATAAATGGACTAATGTTTTGCTATTTTTTGAGACAGTCACAATATATAATTTCATATGGGAACATTAAAAAGGATTATTTTTAAAATTTGTTTGTTTCCAATTTAGGGTACAGGGTGACTTTCAAGCAGTTTCCAGCTATTGCCACCCACAAGGTGGAAATTTTCTGAAAGGGTGAAAATAGGTGGCATTTAGTGGAAACTGAATTTGCCACTATCTGGTGGCAAAATGGTGGAAAAGTGTCTAAATACTCCACCAATTTTCCACCCTTATGGTGGCAAAAGGTGGAAATAAGTGGCATTTGGTGGAAAATAAGTTTGCCACTCAATGGTGGCATAATGGTGGAAATTTGTCTAAATACTCCACCAATTTTCCACCATTATGGTGGCAATAAGTGGAAACAAGTGGCATCTAGTGGAAAATGAGTTTGCCACCCTAAGGTGGCATAATGGTGGCATTATGGTGAAAGTTTGTCTAAATACTCCACCAATTTTCCACTCATTGGTGGCATTTAGTGTAAAAAAGGTGGAATTAACTGGAAAATTATATAACATCAGTCCTGCTCAAATTTTTCACCATTTTCATGATTTGGGTGGCGTTTTGGTGGCATTATTGGTGGAAAATTGTCTAAATACTCCACCATTGAAAAGGGTGGCATTTTAGTGGCAAATCTAGGGACGGGATTATAATAACAACCAATTAAGCATTCGTCCTATAGACAAAAAAGTGAAATATTTGATCTTGAATAATTTAAATAAGTATTTTCTATCTCTTAACATATGAACTTTAACTTTCTTTTAATGTATATGTATGCTAATGGAAACTGTGCGTGAAACTTACTATTTTGTTTTCGTGTAACTTACTATCCAGAAATTGTTCGTTTTACTTACTATACATTTGCAAAGAACATTTGTAGGCTACAGACCTTCGAAAATGTATTTTATATGAACTTCTACGATAACAGATGTCAATAAAATGATTGATTTTGTGTCTTAAGTGCAGAAAGTAAGTTTATTTTCATTTATTTTGGTACCAAATTATATCGCTTCGTGCGAATTACTATCGCTGAATGTGCAATTTTCACACAATTCAAACTATGTTCTCAAAAACCACAAAACGTAGGATAATGCACTTTGTATCGTCATTTGAAGAAAATTAACGCGCATATGATACGCTAGGTTTTGTTTTTATTTAAGAAACGTTTGTCACCTTAATTTAACATAATAAGGTACTTACCGGGGCTCAGTAGTCGCCATTTTCTCGTGGGTATTACTATACAAAGTCACGTGATTCCCCCCCGTGGAGGGAAAGGGTTAAATAAAGAAGAAAGATATATGAAATAGGAAATAGTAAATTTGTATTTTAGCTGAAAATTAAGTCTTTGTAGTGGCAGCATGACTGAGTGGTTAGCTATAATGAAAAATGTAATCTTACACATAATTATTGTGATATAATTTGTTTTGAATATTATCTTATTTTCTTATCATTTTATGATTTATTAGTTAAATTGTATATTTGCATCATTTACAAGTAGGAAAAAAATAAGTAAAAATTAATTCTATCAATTCTTCCCCACCTATTTTTATTGTGCCCCCACGTTAGTGGCGGGCATTTAGATTTACCCTTGTCCGTCCGCCCGTCCTTCCGTCCGTCCGTCCGTTCACTTTTGTGTCGCACGTAACTCAAAAAGTATTTGACCTAGAGTCATGAAACTTTACAGGAATGTTGATCAGCATGTGTTGTTGTGCACCTGGGTATTTTCGTCTGGATATTTTTAGTATTTTGAGAGTTATTGCCCTTGACTTAGTAAAATTTTGCAATTTTCAACTTGTGTCGCATGTAACTCAAAAAGTATTTGACCTACAGTCATGAAACTTTACAGGAATGTTGATCAGCATGTGTAGTTGTGCACCTGGGTATTTTCGTCTGGATATTTTTAGTATTTTCAGAGTTATTGCCCTTGACTTAGTAAAATTTTGCAATTTTCAACTTGTGTCGCATGTAACTCAAAAAGTATTTGACCTACAGTCATGAAACTTTACAGGAATGTTGATCAGCATGTGTTGTTGTGCACCTGGGTATTTTCGTCTGGATATTTTTAGTATTTTCAGAGTTATTGCCCTTGACTTAGTAAAATTTTGCAATTTTCAACTTGTGTCGCATGTAACTCAAAAAGTATTTGACCTAGAGTCATGAAACTTTACAGGAATGTTGATCAGCATGTGTAGTTGTGCACCTGGGTATTTTCATCTGGATATTTTTAGTATTTTCAGAGTTATTGCCCTTGACTTAGTAAAATTTTGCAATTTTCAACTTGTGTCGCACGTAACTCAAAAAGTATTTGACCTAGAGTCATGTAACTTTACAGGAATATTGATCAGCATGTGCAGTTGTGCACCAGGTATTTTCGTCTGGATTTATTTAGTATTTTTAGAGTTATTGCCCTTCACTTAGAATTTTTTTTGCAATTTTCAACTTGTGTCGCATGTTTCTCAAAAAGGATTTGACATAGTCATTAAACCTTATGGGCAGGTTGCTGAGTCAGCATATTTTAGATTTGCACCTGGGGTTTCGCTTGTGGATTTATCCAGTATTTCTAGAGTTATTTCCCTTGACTTAGTAAAAAGATTTACAGAACAGTGGCGCGGTGGGGTCACCCTTGTCCTATGGACACATTTCTAGTTTTTAAATTGAGATACAAAAACTTTGCTGTTAATATCTTGATTTGTAAATTTCAGGAGTTGAAAGATTGATCAAAGAAATAGGAAAGGAAAAGGTAGAATTGATACATTATTTATGTTATATTGCCAATATTTAAGTGTTTCTGTGAAGTCTTTATACATGTACAAGGTTATTCATTGGTCACATTTCTTTGATCGTATTTGAAGGTCCTCATTATGATAATTATGATGTATGAAATTTAAGGCGTTTCTCTACATTTTTGCAAAAGAAGTTCAAATATCATAAATAAAAGCTAAGCCTGTACAAATTAAAGTAAATGAAAACAGATTTCACCTGAGCACAAGGCACCATTGTAAAAAACAATACTTTGTTTTGCTGTTTAGATTTAAAGTACCTTGTTATGGATCATGCCAGGATGCTCTCTTAGCGGTACTTAAAAGAAATATCTCAAGGCTTCAGTAAAGAGTTTTCATGTTGAATATTTTCAATATTTTTTAGCCACCTGGATTTACTATCACCAGAATGGGTGGAGCTTACAGTAGGGTTATGGGAGAGTATGTGCTTGGCTATATTCTCACCAAAGAGAGATTTATTATTGAAGTGGCCAAAGACCAGGAGACACAAAGCTGGAACAAGTAAGGTAAATTTCTATGGAGCAAATACACTTGAGTGGCAGTTTTTTAAGATAGTAAATTTGTCTTAGAAAATTGTACATATTTTTTTACAAAAAAACGTTTACTACATATTTTTTGAGGCACCATATGAAAATGGTAAGAAAGTAAAGGAAAAATGATATGGTTACATGATTCAAATTTCAAGGAAAAGTGACTTGAAAGATAATAAGCTAAGACAAAAAAAATATGCAAGTAAGATAAATAAAAAATTACAGAACCTTTGTTTTACTTAATTCATATGAAAATAATCCATGTTTTCAATGTTAATTGTCAGTACTTCATATATATCTATTCAGTGTTAGTGCAATATTATATACATGTATATATAGAATCTGGAATGAAATATTTCCAATATAAGTTCATGAAAAAGCTCTGCATAATTCAATTATGAAAATATAATGAATCTGTCATGAAAAAAGATACAGTGATACATCATTTAGTCCATCATTTATAAATACATGAAAATCTGAATTTTTGTTTATTGAATATTAATACATTAGCTTTGGCTGATGAATTATTGTCTTTAGATTGATAAATATTTCTTAAATCTATTTAGTTTGAAACACAGAAATTACAGAAATTTGGCAGAATTAACAATAGGAATTCTTGGAGTGGGCGATATAGGTCAAGAAGGTAAGTATTGAATGTTAATCTAAATATCAGACTCTTATTGAATATCCATAAAAGTACCTAATATTTCTCCTCTACATGTTTTATATGTTCCCAGATTTCTTTTTGTTGAACATTTAATAGCTGGTTTGGCCTTCCTTCCATTATTCATCCGTGTCATGCTACCATTTCTCATAGTAGTCCTTCTCTTTTAAGATTGATGTATTTTGACTGTTGGTAAAGAGCCACTTTCAGATTACTAGCCCCTTACACAGCTATGGGATGGTTTCAAATCACTTGCTCCTCCCCTGTATGGGTTGGTTTCAAATCACTTGCTCCTCCCCTCTATGGGTTGGTTTCAAATCACTTGCTCCTCCCCTGTATGGGTTGGAATCCCATCAGGGACATAAGATTATTTTATATGGGGGAGCTATCCAGCTAACTTGCAGAAGGTTGGTGGTCCTACATTAGTGCCAGCTAGTGATGGAATAGTGAAAGTAACACCTGAGGTCTTTCTTTGCCAGTAAAGCAGAAAAGTCACTATATGACCTTTTCAGTGTTGCTGTTACTTAAAATAAAACAAACAAAAATATCTTTTATGGAAATATTCACTTAAATGGTGTTTCATGTCACCCGATCAAAGTTAATAATATATAATAATAATATTTATTAAGAATGCCATAATTTATTCTTAATCAATGTATCAAAATTAACAATGATAATATTTATTAAGAATGCCATTATTTATTCTTAATCAATGTATCAAAATTAACAATGATAATATTTATTAAGAATGCCATTATTTATTCTTAATCAATGTATCAAAATTAACAATGATAATATTTATTAAGAATGCCATTATTTATTCTCATGACCATATATTTAAAAACTACGTTTTAGCATGTTTTGCCTTACATTTTGTTTCGGATAAGGTTAAACTGTTGAAAATGTATAAAATTAATTCTCAATTACAATTTCTATTTCAGACAAACTTTATAGAAAGATTTTTTTTTCTATTAAAATAGCAGTGAATTTTGATGATATACATGTATTACTGTATTTGACTATTACCATAATACTTTAACACTGTTTTGTACATATGTAAACAAAAACTTGTAAACTATGTTTTGTTTTGGGCTGGTGGCCTATGAAGCAATAAAGATATTGTATTGTATTGTATATTGTATATATTTAACAGTGGCTAGACTATGTAATGCTGTTGGTATGACGGTCATTGGTGTTACTCGTACTAAACCAGCAGAGGAAAAGAAAAGCCAAGCTGTATCTCAATATAGGTATGTTTGTATTAACCATTACACAACTAGCAACCATGAAATAAGAATATGTAACTAAGTTTTAATTTGAAACATATTTTATATAAGTAAAATTTTAGCTCACCTGAGCATGCTATGCTTATGAAAGTTTGTAGGATCAAGACTCTCAGTGGAGGAGTAATATTTTTTTGGTATAAGGTACATTGGTTAACTGTGATTTTTTTTAATTCTGCCTGTGAAATGTTACTGTTGTGTACTTTTTTAACGCATGAACGACTCAACAATATTGCATTAAAGGACATAAGTCATCTTCAGTTTGTGTGCAGAATTGCAACTTCATCATTGATTTGATTGAACCAAACTTGAATAAAACTTATATCACCAGTAGATCTTTCTTAAGCAGTCGGCATGACATAGTTTTGCAGCTTAAATACACATTTTTTGCTTTGTGTGAATGAAAAATGGTTCTTCATTCAATTTGAACCAAACTTGCATGTAGGTTTTAGTTCATGTCTTCCAAAGTTGTGCCCTTTAAAGGTCTAAATTAGGCATATTTTGCTTTACCATATGACAGCAGTTTTATGAACCAAACTGGGATCAAACTTGTATTACTGGTACGTTTTGGCTTTATTTTCAAACACATCATATAAAAGGGGCCTGATCTCAAGATACTTGTACATCATAGTGGTGACGCATTTGAATGTACACAAGTAGCATATTTTGCTTATGCTGCATAATGTTTGTTTAATTTTTCGATTTGAACCAGGCTTGCACAGAATTTATATAACCAGTAGCTCTTGGCTCATTTATCTATATTAGCTTGATCCCATAATACTTATGAAGAGTTGTGGCCCCTGAATCCCTGATAGGACAAATAATTGTCAAATTTGATTATACTGTAAACTTATTGGTAAGATCTAAGTATTTGTTTAACTTTTATCTTTAAATTTGGACCACTGGTATACTAGTGACAAGTCAAGTGTTTGAAATAAAAATTTGGCAAATGATGCACTTGAATGATGTTACACAGTAACTGTTATCTGCATTGTAGAGGTTAAGATATTTATAGTAATAATTTTCAGGTGAGTATTCTAGGGATATCATGCCACTATTTTAAGGTTGATTATTCAAAGAATAGGGAGAATCTATTGTACTCACCCAGGTGTTGCATTATTGCATGCATGCTTGTTTTACTATCAAGCACTGGAATATGAGAAAAGCCAAGCATGCTGTCCTATTGACAGCTTTTATTCAGTTGACAAGTAAGGTATAGAAGTAATTTATGGTACAGTTTGTTTGTTTGTTTCATTTTACGCCTTTTCCCAACAGTATTTCAGTCATATAGGTGGGTAGTTTCGTAACCATCGTTCCTGGAGAGTTACACCAGTACTAGACAACCTTCCTTCATGCTAAACTACCAAAGCATCTCCTGGGGATTGAACCCACGCCAGAGAGGTAACTGGATTAGAAGTCATCAACTCTAACCCCTTGACCACGGAGGCGGTATATCCAATGTAGTACAATTTGGCTAAGCTGCACTCATGATGGTCTTCCTCACATTGATTTATGTTTTTCATGAGATTGTTATTATGTTAATAAAATTTAGACCATAGTGTACTTTCAATATTGTCCATATTGACTTTATATTCAATACATAGCATTTTAACCCGTTGTAATATATGTTATCTTTGAAAAACAAGTTTATCAGAAAAATTATAGATGCCTAGTAATAGATATTTGTTTTATTTTAAGGCTGATGTCAGAATTACCATCTGTTCTCAAGGACTGTGATTATGTGTGCAATATTTTACCTAGTACTCCTGAAACACGTGGCACATTGTCTGGAGACATACTCTCTCATTGTAAAAATAAAGTAGGTTATTTACTTACTACAGGAGTCTTAAAACTTGTTAATAACCAGGTTGGACATGTAGCTGATATCTCATGACCTTAAGGTCATTAGGTTAGTCACTGTGACCTTGACCGCAAAGCTTGTATACAGAGATACTTTAGCCTACAGCTTCTAGATTTTGTGATGAAGTTGATGACGACATGTAGATCATTTTCACATGGACCTTCACCATAAAAGCTGGTCTACAATATTGAATTTGAAGTGTAGTTAACAATTTGACTTACTTCTTGCAATTAGCACCTTTAAGCACCATTGTTTGGCAGGTTTTCAAATTGCTCTCAAATTACAGCAAAGAAAGTAATCAAGACCTTGAATGTTTCTATATGTTTAAAAACTACTGAAATTGTTTAAAGATGCAAGATGAAGAATGAACTTTAAATTGTTGATTTTTTTTGGAAATTGGTTTCATATTGTTTTTGTGTTAATACTTATATTCCTGTGAGATGACGCCTTTTTAAGTAACATATTAGAATAACTATAAACCTGTGATTATTTTCATAACCAGAAAAGTATCTTCATCAACATCGGTCGAGGTGATATAATAGATGAGCAGTCACTTATTACTGCCTTAAAGTAAGTTGAATTATTTAACTTTCTTTACTATATTTAGGTTTCTTTTCCTTTCTTCTGTATGTTCTATTTATTTCTACTTGAGAACTTGATATGAAAATAAAAGCATTATGGGGCTTTAAGTTTGTGTAAGGTGTGGTAGGTAATTGCCTGGTGGTTAAGGTGTCACCCAACCCAGAGGTCATGAGTTTGTACTAGATTCATTTTTGACAATGTAGCAATTGCATAAGTAAGAAAAGGAGAAATGAAATTATATACTGGTTTACATTTAGTGCAAGGTGAAATTGGAATAATGTATTTTATATATAGTATTATTTATTTCAATAAATTGATTCAGTAAATAAAAGATTGGTAAACAATTGCATAAGTGTGAATATTCTTGCACACTGTAAAACTTAAAACATTTTTCTCTATGAGGATATCTTGCTGAAACCATAAATAAATGAGCCGCGTCATGACAAAACCAACATAATGGGTTTGCAAACAGCATGGATCCAGACCAGCCTGCGCATCTGCGCAGTCTGATCTGGATCCATGCTGTTCGCTCACAAACCCTATAACAAGTAGAGAAAATGATAGCGAACTGCATGGATCCTGATCAGACTGGGCGGATGCGCAGGCTGGTCTGGATCCATGCTGGTCGCAAACCCATTATTTTGGTTTTGTCATGGCGCGGCTCAAATACCAAGTTTGAACACTGATAATTTTACAATACACACCAAATGTTTAATATACAAAATGTACGTACATGTATTTTTGCATAACCTGAATTGAGAATCTTATTATCTTTCAAATTTTATCTATCACCAAGCAATCCTTTTCATGAACTATCTCATGAGAAAAATAAAGTAAGACATAAAATGGACAGCATAGCATGGTGATAGATAAAAGTTTTAAACACGTGCTATTTGATTTGATATTCTACAGGGAAGGATGGATAGGTGGTGCTGTTTTGGATGTGTTTCAGAAAGAACCTTTACCTAAAGAAAGTCCGCTATGGAGTCTACCAGGTGTAGTTATAACACCACATATCGCTGGAGCTACACAAGCTAATTTGGTCAGTACTTCTTAATTTGTTGTTAATTATGATAAGAAGTGGTTTTGATTACTGTCTTATATTCTTAAAAGCTTCCATCCCCATATTTATCCAGAACAGTTTTTGTAACTTTCATGTCTGCAGTTGCTTTTTTAGAAAATTCTTTGACCTAAAACATTTTTAAAATGAAGCAAAACAAAAATCATTGGCAAAATTGTACCATTTTTCATATGCCTCTGAATAAAAGATTGGAGGGCATATTGTTGTTTTCCTGAGTGTTTGCATGTCTGTCTGCCGACAACTTTTTACTTTGGCCTTAAAATTTTCATTTTGTTATTCATAATTTTCATTTTGTCACCATACATGGACATAGGGTGGATAAGTGTCTCATTTCAATGTTTTTCTGTATTATCTTGACTTAAGGTAAATTTTTCAAAATTCCTATGTAAGAGAAACAGTGGCATTTTCTTTTATATATTTTTATATATAATATAGATCTTATTGAATTTTGATTATTTACCTGTCATACCCAATAAAGGTGTCTTGCTTGACTCAACAACTTTTTGTCTATTTAATGACTAAAATGTATGGTTGTTGGTGCATACACTAAAAGCAAAGCACCATTAATACATGTAATATATAAATATATATATAAGGTTTATTTATTTCAGGTGGCATCAAGTTTTGTTGACAATTACAAACTGTTCATAGAGAACAAACCTCTCAAATACCAAGTGGATTTTCAGCAAGGTTACTAGAAGATCATCTCAAAATATTAACAGGGCAATCAATTTTTCTTACAGCATGTAGAGAATCTCTGGAAGTGTATTTATTGCATATGTTAAGTAAATATGTCATGAATCTCTTAATTATGAAACCACTTTTTATTGCAGATGTTAAAGAAACATGTCATGAAACTATTAATTATTAAAAAGATATTTTATGATTTATTACAATCAAAAGTTGGCATTTAAAATACTTTTTTGAATATTTAGCACATTTTCAATATGATTTTTAAAAGACACACAATGTGATTAACTATTTAATTAAAATTTACAGGATTTGTCAATTGCTTATTTCCAA